AATTAAGCCTTGAATTTGAAACAGAACAGTCACAAAAAATATTTTGCTAGCCTGAAAGCGTTGTGACAAGCACATTTTTTCCAGTGGTGAAAAGCAACTTATATAAAGTGTTAATTTAAAACTATATTACTTTCATTAACCTTTTTGCTATACTTATTTGCTCACAAGTGGTAGTTTGATCTTGTTGTGGCTGCAAATGAACAAACAAAAACTGTTCCTAAATGATGCATATACCAGATATGGTTAAATGATATTATAGTTTGAGCTTTAATAAAGTTTATTTTGAAAGGATGCACCCACCTCGCTGAAAGCAGTTCCTGTTTGTGCCACAAGGTGCTGATAGTGGACCACAATTGGCCCAGGTGATTTTATATTCCCTGTGTAGAAAGATCAGGTCAATTCATTGGGTATCTATAAATACACTTTTATTTTAACAGCTAATTTCTATTAAATAAGTCTTCTCCGTCTTGTTGGGAAACCTGTGGCATTGTATCATATGTCTTAGATCTTTTAGCGTACCGTTTGGCATTCGTTTAGCGTATATCTTAGTGCATATCTTAGATCCTTGTTTGCCGTTTCTTTTTATTCATTCAACTTTTATTTATACAGGTTAATCCCATTGAGCCTCAGGGACTCGTTTACAAGCGAGACTTGATTTTTAACAAAGAGTGATGACAACAATTGACAATCGTAAACGATGCATACAATTTAAAAAATATATATTATTATTATATTAAATATATATATATATATATTTTTAATACTTTGTATTTTGATATTTTTGGGTGTAACTGGGACCCCGAGTGCATAATTTCGTTCCACCTCATGTACCACATGTGATGCGAAATGATGACAATAAAATTGACTTGAACTTGAAAATGATTGTGGCTTTTAGAAGCATCTTGACCAAGAGGTGACTTTCATTGATGATTTGATTGATATATCCTTGAGGCCTGAGGCAGAATGCAATACAAGAAAATGTTTGTCTCGTTTTTATTTTTGTTTTACTGTTCCAGTATTATCGCACATTAGTAAAAGTTTTATTACTTTTTTTTTTTTCATTTTGAAAATGGAAGTTTTTATTTATTGTTTTTCTTGATGAGGCATTACAAAGACTCAATATAGTTGTTTATTTTTTATTTTATTTTTTACAACCAGGAAGTAAGTCCCTTTTATATTTTTCACTTGGGTCTGTTTTCAGACGCGCCTGTCTCACATTTCACAGGCTGGGACTGTAAAATGTTAATGCATGTGCCTCTCGGATCGTACTGTTAAATAATGCAGTGACCTTACGGTTTGTTGTGTCGTCTGAAGTTTGATCTAATGTCAGCATATCAGGCACAAACCAAACTATAGGTCAGTGGGTCCAATGTGAGACCCCTGTTCGCTTACGAGTTGCAACAACTGCTCTTTCTGTTAAAATGACAACATTCAGGCATTGACTCGTTTTTTTTTTTTTTAACTTTTTCATCAATGTTCCAGTTCAGCCCATTAGAAAAGTGTTGTTGTTTTTTTTTTTTATCACCTGAGGCTGATTATATTTTGCCCGTGCATCTGTTACCAAAATATCTTCTGAACCACTCGATACATTTTAATCAATTTTCCAGAAAGTAATCAGTGGCTGTACATCGACGACCCTTTTCCTTTTGGCCCATTTTGAGGTGGTCACCTGCTGACCTTAGAAATCACCAAAAATGCTCATATTTGTCAGATTTGTAAATATAGATCCAAAACTTTAGTGTAGCTGTAGTTGAGAAACCCTTCCCAACACACATAATACAATATATTTGCTAAAAGTGTGGTATTAATTGTTAGTCTACCCTGTTTGTTAGCAAAATATCTCATGAACCACAGGACAAATTTTAACAAAACTCAAATCATTGTATGTTTATCTACAACTGATTAACTTTTGGGGGATCTAATTCAAGATGACTGCAACACAAATGACTATGACTCCGGCAGTTCTATAGACACTGTGCTAAGATTTGATGTAGCTCAGTGTTGTTCATAATACTCCGACAGCAAGATCCCACAATTTTACATAAAGTTGTCTATTTCAGTATTTGGCCAAAACGTCTGTAATTTTGTTATTTCTCAATGTTGGGTGATTTTATTTTAAAACTCTAGTATGAAAGCAACTAAGCAATGAGCATTCCTTCATGGAGTTGTAGGCCTTTATTACATTTATTATTTGGGAACACGTTTTATTAGATTTATCAGAGCATTGAAGGATAAGGCCAACTTCAAGACTTCTGTGCTTTAATCTGTTCAGGTGGTTTACACAGAGGTCCATCAGGGCGGCATTTTAAAAAGTACTGTACTTTTGATCTACATCGACTTGTCTACACTTTTGACTTTGTTGAATCTGCAGGGTAAACACGGTTTCAGATGTGACGGGTGTGGTTAGCGCAGCAGAATGTACACAGTCTTTTGTTTTCGTGGTTTTAGCTGTAATGTCTACACTCTTGAGTTACAAAGTCCTGACAAGGAGAGAGATGGAAATACGGAATCGATGTTGGGCAACGAAAGTTGTGGGTTTCACACCTGCAGTTTTTATGTCCATCATCTGCATCTTCCAACTAATTTTCAAAACAGTGTGAAATGTCTGCTGAAGAAAAAAAAAAGCGTTGCATTACTTAAACGAACGTGTCATCACAGGAAGTTGTGGTTTGTTCCTTTCCTGTTCTTGTGCCTGAATATAAAGTAAGAAAACACTTCCCTTATGAGGGTGGGTGGGGGTGTCACACCCCGCACATGTAAAGCTTGGGGTTTGCTCCTCGGTGTCAGTTGGCAGCCGTCGGTGTGCGCGAGCAGAGGCAGCAGGTGATAGTGTAGCTGGCATCCGTAGCCACGCCGTCAGGTTGCTGTTGTCTAAAAGGACGAGCTGCTCAAGGGTTCATGGAGAGCGAGGTATGCTTTAAAAAACCTTCAAAAATCACAAATGGATGCTTTTGTTTATGCCTAGAGTACTATTTTACTCTATTTAAAAGCTACGGTTTGTTAAAACTGATAAAAGCTAGCAAATAAATAAATTACAAATGAAAGGTTTTAAATTTAAAAAAAATAATGAGGTGAGTTTTTTTAGAAAATTAAAAAGTGACTCCTGTTTTTTTTTTTATTTTTTTTTTTATCAAAATGCAGCAGTCACACTAGCCGAACTTTTGTTGATATTTGAGCAGCACAAATTGAGTAACACTGTGGGCTGGACTTCAGCTGCTACCAGCGCTGTGAGGGGGAAACGGGCTCAGCAGAACTAACGGAGCACGAAGCCGTCAACACGTTAATTTAACTGCTGCATTTGTTGCCAAACTTATAAAACCAAATTGTATGTGTTGTGGATATACATACGCCATTTCTGTATGACGGTGCAGAACATTTTAAATAGCTTTTAGTTTGTGGTATGATCATTTGTGTGTCTCTGCAGACCGGAGAAGTGAGCATAGCTATAAATGCCCAAGTTCCCTTTGCCTTTTCACATGATCCTTCACTGTATGTTTTCAATAGCCTGGGATCGTGTCTCCGTTCAAGCGAGTCTTCCTGAAAGGAGAAAAGGGAAGGGACAAGAAGGCCCAGGAGAAGTCCACAGAGCGCAGAGCCCTCCACACCTTCTCACTGTCTCAGCCTGACCACGGCATTGACCCCGACATCTTGCTTAACGACTATATTGAGAAGGAAGTCAAAGTAAGTGTTACTAGCAGAGAGGGAAACAAATTCCTGGTATCACATTATAAACAATTAACATTCTAAAAAGACGATGTTTGGTGATAGTTGATTATTTTGCTTAGGGATGCACGATATTATCGGCATGGTATCGGTATCAGTATCGGCCGATATTAGCGATAAAATTAAATATTGGACATCGGCCATTCCATCAAAATAATTCACCGATATAAAAGGTGCTGGGTTTTTTAAAAATGCGTTATATATTTATATAGTGTTACATCATTTTCAGCCCCATTTTTGGCATCTGTATTTGATAGCAGGCCAAATTGGCAAAGACCATGCAAAATAACTGGTCTCTCTTGTAAATGAGTCTTCGAGGCTCAATGGGAACTAACCTGTATAAATAAAGATTGAATGGAAAAGAATAATGTAGTATTTTAACTCCACAACAGAGAAAGCTCTGTAGTGTCTGTAATTAGGACTAGCAAAAAAAAAATGTTGGTATTGATATCAGTTATCGGCCAAATAAGTTTTAACATATCGGCCAAAAATCCAACATCGTGCATCCTTAATTTTGCTTCTAAATACAAGAAAGATCCTTCACTCTGTCCTTGAGCAGATAGTGACTTCAGTAAATGTCTCATTTTGTTCAACTAACATTCAAATCTGCAGTATTTAAAGTCAGACAAAGGAGAGAATTGTTAGGTTGTGCAGCAACATTTTTTATTACTGTTGGTAAAAAAAAAAAAAAATCAGCTTACAACCTTTTTTTTTTTTTTAACCATTTTGACCTTTGGTGTCCTCAAGCTGTTTCTGTGAGTAGCAAGTCGGCCATCTGACTTAAGACGTTTGATTGTTATACGTGATGATCGTTTTGGGCTCATGAGTCCTTTTGCATGTGTAAAAGCCTGCTTCTGAGATTCCAACAGGAAGTTGCTTTGAAACGCAGCAATGAAGGCTACTTATGGGACAGATCTGGTTATCATGCCGCAGACTGATGAAGTCTTCTGGATGGAAGACGAAACGTTTCTCCCTTAAAGAAACTGCTCCAGATGACATGATTTAACCTTTTTTGTTATTAATGTTGGTAAAGCTTTGTTGCTGTGTAAATTTCAGTGCAACGTTTTGTCCTAATCTAAAATGTGTACCCGTGTTGCCTCTTTCAGTACTTGGGGCAGCTGACATCAGTTCCAGGATACTTGAATCCATCAAGCAGGACAGAAGTCCTGCAGCTTATTGACAACGCAAGGGTACGTATGATCTGGGAGTTTATCTGAACTCTTTATTACTACACGGCTGATATCTCGTTGGCAAGACATTATTTTTCTTGCTTCCTTGTTGTTCCAGAAGTCCCATCAGTTGGCTGGCCAGCTGACGTCGGAGCAGGATGCAGTGGTAAGCCTGTCTGCATACAACATCAAGCTCGTTTGGCGAGACGGAGAGGACATCATCCTGAGAGTGCCAATTCATGATATAGCTGCTGTCTCATACATCAGGGATGACTCTGTTCACCTTGTGGTCATAAAAACAGGTAAAAGAAAGCTTGTACATGTTTTGACATTTTTTATTTTCTGGTCACACATGAATTTAAAACTTTCTGGTAATTCAGTTAGCATACCCAGTTCTAAAAAAAACAAAGTAATTTAAACCACAAGTTAAATTACTAATAGTAAGATATACTGATGCTTACTACATAATCCAGGTAAAAAAAAAAAAAACTCTAACAAAGTAAAGTCAGGTCCTTTGGATGGGTGAAGAGTGAAGGAAGCCATCTTTGTGAAGAGAAACCGTCCATCATTAAATGAGCGGCGACCTCCGTGTCCATTTGTCACCCGTGCTGTTATTGCTAGTATCACTCAGCCCTAACCGTAAGATTCTTCCAGGATTAGTCTTTTTCTCTCACTCACTTCAAGGGAAATAATTATAGAGTGAAATAATTCAATATAACATTAAAATGCAGAAAAACACGAGACTTTTTTATGTATCAGTAACCTCTTTTACTTTGCAAAAAGAGTAGAAAATTACAATTATTTTGGTGTATACTTATCAGCCATTCGTTTTAAAATGATAAGCCAAAGTGGGGATTTACTTGATTCTGTCAATGTTTTTTTTTTTTTGTAATTATAGTCTTACCTTTGTCAAGTCCAAGTTTGTCTCTACAGCACATTTAGAAATGACCTTAGTTGACAACATTTTGGACAAATCATACATATTTATAGTCAGTATCATTTTTCTGCATCGTTAAATGGATCATACTTCATGGTTAAATTAAAAGTGTGAAGATGGAGACCCTTTAAGCCAAACAGGACCTCAGTGTTGAGAACGGATGTCTGAAGAAAGAACTACAAAACTGTGCCTAACTGTGCTTACTATGTCCAAGTAAATCAAATAGTTTGAGTTTTTGTATCTCATATATTTTAGTGCTGAGGGGACAAGTTCACCGTCTTTTTGCTCTTTCAGCCCAGGAATCAGGAGGCTCTCCCTGTCCCAGCTCATGTCCCGATCTAAACAAATCGCAGACTCTGAGCTCCCTGTCGGAGAGTGGAGCTGTGCTCGTGGAGGTCTGCTGTCTGCTTGTCCTGGCTGTTGACAATAAGGTAATAATTTTACTATAAGTAGGGCTTCATCTGCTAACAGCAGTCATGATTGGAGGAGTTACAATTGATTTGTAAAAGCTAAACTTAGGCTCCGATCCACCTGCAGTGGTGTTCTGTCAAACTGTGACCAGAAAAAAAAATCAGTGAGATCAAGTGAGTCCAACGGTTGCTGCTCTTTTGAGACAGTGTAGGAAAAAGAAACTCTCTTAAGGCAAATCACCTTAAAAACCTCAGATAAAAAGAGCAGAGTTTAACTAACTGAGATACACTCATCAGGCTTTCTGAGGCCTGATTTAAAAAATAAATAAAAACAAAACCTGTGAAGTTAACATGATAAAAATGCTTTAACTGTTAACATCTTTATCTTACAGGCTGCAGCAGAGGAGTTGTGCATTTTGCTCAGCCAGGTGTTTCAGATAGTTTACACAGAATCAACCATTGACTTCCTAGACCGAGCCATTTTTGATGGAGCTACAACGCCTACCAGACATCTTTCTCTGTACAGCGGTAAGGAGACATGCAGTTAGACCACAAGACAAACATTAGACTTTCTGTGGGTTAATTAAAAAATGCACTACTGTACTAAAGGCAGTCCGTGCCACATTTTGTAATATTTTGCATCCATGGCGTCAGAATTCCTTGTAATCGTTGAAAGCGGTCACTGACGTGGTCAAATTGTAATGTTTCTGGTCAATTTTCAAGATGACTCTTCAAGCAAAGTAGACGTCAAAGAGGCTTTTGAAGGAGAAGTCGGCACGTTGTAAGTCCAACATGATTAGATTAGAGATGTTTATAGAATTACTAAAATTAGTTTAGCGTTACTTGTTGCTTACAAAGGATGCTTTTTTTTTAAAGTCCTTTCAAGACACCAGAAGAGAACTCTTCATCTGCCTCCAGCCCTACACTTCCTCAGACAAAGACGGCGATTGAAGGCGAGCTCAGTACCACGGCCGCAGAGCTGCTGCAGGACTACATGACAACAGTACATCGTCTTCTCTGCGCTTTTATGTTTGAGTTAATACGCTTAATACACTTTCTTAATACCCTTGTTTTTGTCTCCCCTACTTAGCTGCGGACGAAGCTGTCATCCCAGGAGATCCAGCAGTTTGCCACTCTGCTCCACGAGTACAGAAACGGTGCCTCCATTCATGAGTTCTGCATTAATCTGCGGCAGCTCTATGGGGACAGCAGGAAATTCCTCCTACTCGGTACAGCTCGTGCATTTTCTCAAGTAAACTGCGATCGACCTCACCATCGCAACTAAATGTGCAGTCAATCAAATGGCAGTCTCTCTTGACCCCACCAATGATCATTTTATCAAATATACTCACTCTATCAGGCGCTGTTCCACATGAGATGTCTTAAATAACTAAACTGTAAACTTTATAGCTGTGTTTTAGCTGTCCGCGTGTAATTCTTTGGGAGGTTTATTTATTTTAAACTCTCCTAATTGAATATTTAAAAATTTTACACTAGTGCAGATTTATGCGTTGTAAGGTTGATATAAACATTTATACAGTAATTCAGATATGATTTTTTAAGTATTACTTTTATGTGTTGCTATAAAGACCATAATACTGTCTAATTATTTTCAGATCATATCACAGTCCTTTTTGACATCTGATGACGTCAATCTGATATTGGTTTTTAAAAACCTTGCTTAGATTGTAATCTCCTCATATCACCATTTATTTGTAAAGCACGTTACATGCAAGGGTGTGAAGCTCAAACTGCTTTATGCCAGATAAAAATAAAGCATAAAAGAAAAGTGATAAATACACATACAAGATTATTTAAAACAGCAGTAAGTTTTTAAAGGATTAAACGATGTTGAAGGGACTGTAGGAATTGAAAGTGTTTATTTTTAATGAGGTAGGAATAAAACTACATGAATCTTAACTTTTAACATCTAAAAATTGTTAAAACTGAGGCACTAAAAAGTCCACACAAAAAAATAGATGCAAGTTAAGTTACTGCTATTATCCAAAAAATATACATATAGTTCTGATTCAGTAAATATAATTCAGTTAAAGAGTGAAACTAAAAGTATGATAAACGTAAGAGATTACATTAAAGAAAGTGTCACTAAACTTGAGTGAACAATTTTACTTAAAGCCAGATTAAACAGGTATGTCTTGAGTTTGCTTTACATCAGCGCTCTCTGTTGAATTCAGGGATCCGGAGGATTCATAAGGTAAAAACAAGTCTGATAAATAGGCGGGGGGTCTGAGACCATAAACCACCTTATAAAGCATCAAAAGAACCCAAAGTTGACTCTAAAATACACAGATAGACAATGCAGGGACTTGAACATGGTGTTATGTGATTGTTACATTACAGAGCAAAGAAAATGGACTTACAAGGAGGTTCACCTCTTGCAGCAAATTACATCAGTTACCAAATACTCATCAGTGTTGTTTACTTCTAAGAGTTGTTCCTTGTCCCGGCAGGTCTTCGTCCCTTCATCCCGGAGAAAGACAGCCAGCACTTTGAAAACTTCCTCGAAACCATCGGAGTGAAGGATGGCCGAGGCATCATCACGGACAGCTTCGGCCGATGCAAGCGCACGCCCAGCTCCGCCTCCGATTCCACCACCAACGGCAACGGGGCAGCAAGAGGAAGCGGCGACAGCACGGCCTCGGACGAGGGCCAGGACGCCTCCGAAGGCGACGAGTGGGACCGTATGATCACCGACATCAGCAACGACATCGAAGCGCTGGGCTGCAGCATGGACCAGGAAGCAGTGACTCCCTGACACGTGGACGTGGTGGCACGAACTCACGCAGGAGACATGAGCTAAGCAGATCAGGTAAAGGTGGTCCACAGCACCAACCAAAGATCTGCTGGATTGTATTTTCCTCTAATTGTCAAGAGGACGCTTCGTATTCCCTTTACAGTCGAGGAAAGCCCGTTTGTTGCTATTGAGTCAACAGATGCACTTAAGCAGAAAAGATAGTTGACACGTAGTTTGTCGGCTTGTTTAACATTTCAGATGGATTCCTAGCCCCTGATTTATTTTAAATTTTTACAATAGTTTTATACTCTTTTATTGGCAGCATCTGCCAGTGCTATGTGTAATGTAGCGAAGGTGTCCAGTCGGTGCGGCAGAGCTCTGGAGAACCTGTCAGTGGGCTCTACGTTTTCAAAGACCGAGATTTGTCCTTTTGTTTAAGTTCGTCGGCTTCCCACCTGGAAAACTTGTATTTTATACCACGTTGCTGTGAAAATGTAACAGTTTGCTTGTGTGTGATTTTCTTCCTCGGTAAGAGACTTGTGTTCTGCTTTATCTTCATTTTGTTAATCAGTGTTTATATTTTTTTTGCTTTGTTCAAATTGACCTGGAGAATGCTGTGCAAAGAAAGTTGTGTTGATTGCTAACAGCTGAGCGTGGGACTGTTTGACAGCTCCAGTTCATGGATGATGGCTGATGCTCCATTACTTTAGTATTTTTGCTCAACATCATTCAGGTCGTTTCGTTGTGCCTTGTTGCCAACTGTCTGACGCAGACAGCTCATCAGAAACTAACTACAATGGAGCAAATTGTGGTTATTAAATAACAGAATATTTACACAAACTGTATGTTCGTATTGCAAAACTTGCACGCTTTGAGGTTGTATAAAACCTTTAACTGTCAGCACACCTGGCTGCTGTGTCGTCGTGTACGAGCTCGCTGTTCGAGGTGGAAATAACATTTAGTTTGACTTTCAAACATCAAAATCCTCCCTCAAAGGGTGATTGTTGGATCTAATTATGATCTTCTCATCATTTGCTTGGATGCACCTAAGCTGCTGTGGAACTTCAGCTTCATCAAAGCGACCGTGCCAGATGCTGCTGAGTGCCTCCAGAATTGAGGATTAAGTTTTGAGAGTCTCGGGGACGGGAAATTGGCAGGGCAGCTGTAGTTAGTCGCATTCCTTTCTCAGCACGACTCTCACTATATTCTTTTAATTACTTCCAAGTTTTTAGTATGTGTAATGCTATCTGAGCGTGACTCATATTGTTTAAAAAAAAAAAAAAAGTAATGATGTACAAGCTGACGAACTTGTCTTTAAAAACAAACAAACGGGGAATCCAAGCATTTTTGTGACCACCTGTGACGAGTTGCTTCAGGAGGATTTTAACTGTCCAGATGCTCCAAACTGAAAAATCCTGATGGGTCTTCAAGAGTCTCATCTTCATTCTAAATGTAGGCAGCAGTTAGTTGGCATGGTCTTATTTATAAAGATTTTGCCTGTTAAATATGCAACAATGATAGTTTTCCTGTCATCCTGCATGAGGAAAACATAAAAAAAAAGGTGGATTAACGCTTGGAAAGATGACTTATCCTGTACTAGTTATTTCAATCTTAAGTGGAACAAGTTCTAATGCTCGGATCAGACGTGTGAATAGTCGAAGCAGAAGCAACTTTTCGGACTTTCTTAGCTGAAATCAAATCTGTTGTGTGTCCTGAGCACAATCACGCGTGGATCTTCAGAGCTGAGACGCACCGACCTGCCATGTTCAACTCGTTTCATCATCCGTCTGTTCCAAGATGCTCAGTTTGCCTCCAACTCTCCAAGTAACCTCAAAATCCTAATATTTCTATATTAAATTGGATAGAAACTTCATTTTTTATGCTCCATTTTTGAACATCGGTTAAGTCGGATATCTCAGCATCTATTTGTTGAGCATTAAATCTCGGAAAAAAGATTTGAATGCCAGGCTTGTAAAGACTAAAGCTGTAAGATTCTACTTTTTATCTGAGCATATTAAAACATTTACCAGCTCATAAAGGTGCCCACTAGGGTGTCTTATGCAAAAAATAGACTATTTGATCTATAAAAACTACATTTAGGTAAAATTAAAACACAGTTTCTGTTTTCTCATTTAGCCTGTGGGAAATATATGGCAGGACTTAAACACTTAAATTCATTCAGAGGAGTTAAGGGCGACTTATAGCAAAAAATTATAAATAATGAACCTCTCCAAATTTTCTTCCACCTGCTACAACTCACAATGCTAAAAGTAGCAAAGGTCATAGCACCCATCTTCTAAATGAGCTGACTGATTTGATTTATGAATGGCCACTATGATGTAATGTGGATAACATGAGGAAATTAAAAACCAAGAGGAAAACACTAATGTGGATATTAATACAGTAGTCACACATTTACTTAATAAAAACTTACTAACATCTGTACTCAGCTTTGGAAATAACAAATGATCCAAAGACAATCAAAGCAGTCGATAATCCCTCGGTTATAAAACGGTACTTTAGTATTTTTCCTCGCACTAAGCCCTCATCATCTTCAGTCCATATTTGAGACGAGACGTGCCAACACCCGCCTACACTGAAGGCTCGGTGCGAGTCTGAGAGGCCATCTGGGATTCTCGCCAGTCTCACCCTGCGGTTCACCTGGTGTTCCTGTCAGCTGCTCGCTCTCTGCGGCGTCACATCTGTTGCATCATGACTGCAGCTCCTGGTGGATTCATTCCTCTTTATCTACAAGATGTGGCGTTCTCTGATCCACAATGAAGATCACTGGGAGATCTTTTCCAACTGTCATCTGAAATGTGCGACCTACTTTTTCAAAGCACACACAGTAGTTGCTCTTTGTGCTTCAGATGCATCTGATTTTCTGCTTGTCGTGTAGACAGTGTTGGGTTTTATGCCGTCATTTTGTCATGCAAATGAGCTAGGGATGGAATTATAACAAGGCAGCTGCTGGGCGAGCCCGAAATCCAATCAGTGAAGGAGAAAGACATTCTCTTGATCTTATCAAGTTTTGAAAGAGCAACTACAAGCAAAGGTGTTTCGATTAGAAAAAAATAAAACGTCTTGTGTTTCGTTTAGCTACAACATAAATGTGTTTGATCAGCAGCAACTCAACGGAAAAAAACTTAAGTGTCCTTCAGACAGGATTTCCAAAAAAACTAATAAAAAAAAAAATAAAGTTGTGGTTTTTCAGCTGCAATAAACTTAAATGGAAGTGGAGCTCAGGCATGAAACTTTCAGGCTCAGCAAAATCATTCACGCAATTCTGCCTCAGGACTGAAAATGTTGCAGAGACCACGAACGAGTTCACCAACAAAAACCTTTTATCCTGCTTTCACACACATAAATCTGATTTTTAGCTGCAGGAACAGAAAACTTTTATGGATTCATCTGAAGAGCGTTATGATCAGTCAATATCTCACCTGTTATAGATAGCTCTTTAAATGACCTCAGGTTGAAGAAACAAGGTTTAACTTTGACTGGATTGACGAGTTAGTCCAAGCGGGCTCAAAATCAAATTAAATCGTCTTTAAACAATTCAAATTAAAAAAATAAAATTAAAGTTCATGCAAATTACTTTGGTTTTTGACCTTGCTTGGGTTAGCCATTAGCTTATCAATCCATGTCAACTTGATTTTTCCAAAATGAGGTCATTTGAAGAGCTTTCTATAAACACAAACTATTAGCCGTTTATAACTTTTCCAAAATACACGTTAAAAGATTTGAACCGTTGCTATAAGAAAGAGGTGATTTTAATTCACAACTTTATTTGAGGGAATTTGTTCCACTAAAACGGCTAACGCTCATAAATGAGCAAACATCACAGGTTTTAATCCGTGGTACATCTGGAACACGAGGAGCATCTCGAGCCCTGAACTTTTATCCTCTTAAGTGCACTGGCTTTTAAATTTTTTTTTTTACTCAATTTTCACGCGCTGCCATTTAAAACACAAACTCCTTAAAGCAAATGTTTTGGTCAGAGAGGGTTGCCTGGATTTAGATCTGCATCTTTAACACCATAAGGCCGATAAAAGAAGCCGCACAATCATTTCACGGAGTAAACACGCGTCCAGCTGGGTTGTAAGTTAACGTTTGTCCTGGAAGTGAAGCCATGTGTGTTTTACAAAGACACAGTAAAACAAAAAGCTCTGCAAGGAAGTTACTTTAATGAGGCAAACTTCACCAGACTTCAGAAACGAGGGTAATTTGACAGTTTTATAAAGAATAAAATGTCTAAGTCGCAGCATCAACTTTAAGGCATGGTTATAGAAGCTCAATTAAATCAACTGAAAGCATCAATTAAAGATCTATACGCTGTAAAATATATTGAAATATTCCATTTGTGCTTTCTAATTCTTCACTCTGTCCCAAAATAGTATTAATGGAAACAGAATAAAACTGATGAGGCCTGAACGGTGGACAGGATGACACTTGTTTCAAACCATGTGTTGCTGTAAAAATACTCCGTATGGACGTAAAAGTTATGTTTAGTTGTTAATACCTTCCATTTGATTCATTATGTGGATCACAGTTAACTAACCCAGCAGTTCTGGATGACTTTTTCCATTTGAAGTTCGAGCTAGCAGAGCGAGAACCGCCGGGAGTTGATGTTCATTTTGGTGACCCCGATGAGTCTCAGCGGGGCCGACAGCCCGAGCCCCGGGGTGACGGGGCACTCGCACAGCAGGTCCGACAACTCGTCCTTCTCCTCCAGACTGTAGGTGGCGTCGTTGAGCATGCGGCGGTGCAGGTGGCACGTCTGCTCGATCTTCAGCGTGTTGATGTCGCTCCGGAGGCGCATGAGCTGCCTCGCCAGGTGCTGGTCCTGCAAACGCATGTCCGTCTGCAACAGAAACGATGAGGAACAGTTCCAGTTATTCACAAAAAAAACAACAATGTTCTGTTAGCTGTGGTGAGCATTTTGAATTAAGCTGGCTTCAAACATTAATCTGTGGTAGAAGTAACCTCTGTGAGAATTATCTCAAAAATGTTTTATTAAATCCATCAGTGGTTCATGGTTTTTTTTTTTCTTCTTGCTCTCGATGAAGGCGGATGCTTTTTCCTCCCGCTCCCTCCCCTGCTTCTGCTCTTTATCCTGCTCTTTTATTTGTGTGCTGAGGTTTTTGCAACCTCACACCATGTCCCGTTAGGGATACAGTGTGAGATACGATAAAAAATGTTACCTCTTCTTTCCCTCTTGTTGCCTTTTTCTTACCCAACAAAAAAAAAGGCAGCACCTTTCATGAGGCTGCAGCCTCAGACACCCCCGTCTTCCCATGTCTCTGTTTGGTTGATTGTGTTTCTTGGATGAGCTGCACTGAAATATAAATTTTGTTGTGCTTGGGTGCAATGACAATAAAGGCTGATTCTGATATATTTTGCTAACAGACACAGGCACAAACATTATCTCAACTGCCTTCAATTTTCAATGGCGAGCTATAATAAACCTTGAACAGTAGCTGTAGAAAAAAAGTTTCCATTTTTCATCTACTGTACATGCTGAAGAGCTCAATTCCAGCAACATTATTATTATTATTATTATTATTATTTTCTCAGCATTTCTTTGTTTATTACTGGTTCATTCGCCAGGGGCCAACCAAGTCCCCCAGGTTTAATCTCTAAACTCGGCTGGTGTTCAGCTGAGTGCTCGTATGTGAACGCTCCCTAGCACCACAGTCTTGCATCGACTCTGCATGGGAGTTTGTCTAGTTGCTCTTGAAATCCTTTCTTCGTGGTTCCTAAAGCTCCAATAACGATTGGTACGGCTTGAGTTTTTGTGTTCCACATGCGTTGGACTTTTATCTCCAGGTCCTTGTACTTTGTTATTTTCTCAGCTTCTTTCTTCAGGATGTAATTGGCATTCGGGATAGTCACATCAAGCGAGTAACACTTTGTTGTTCTTGTCATGGAGCACAATGTCTGGCTGGTTTGCAGAAATGGTATGATCAGCAGGGATGGTCATGTCCCACATGATGACACACAAGCCCCATTGTCAACCACTCTCTCAGTCGTGTGTTCATACCACTTGTCAGTTGTACCTACACCCATTCTCTGGCACAATGCCCAGTGCAGGTACGTCCCAACCTTGTTGTGTCTTTACAGGTACTCTTTTGGGGCCAATATTTTGCAGCCAGAAACGATATGACTAATGGACTCCTCTGCTTCCCCACATACACGGCATGTGCTGCTGACCTGCATGCCCATCACATTGTTTATTTATTTTTTTATACACTACAAAGCAGTGTGCAGTCCTTCTTGTGTGGCAGAGCCTAGAAGGAAAACTCTCAGTGGGACATCCACAAACTTAGTCCACAGTCTCTGCACAGAGATCCCAACATCTAAGATCTGCTCTGCGGTCCTGGACTGCGAAGGTCTGCTTGTATCAGTGCCTCTTCATACACTCGCTCCAGACTCAAGAACCACGGCTGAATGTGCAGAGCAACTGTGCAGAGCAACTGTGCAGAGCAACTGAGCAGAGTAACTGAGCAGAGCAACTGAGCAGAGCAACTGTGCAGGGTAACCGAGCAGAGTAATTGTGCAGAGCAACTGAGCAGAGCAACTGTGCAGAGCAACTGAGCAGAGCAACTGTGCAGGGTAACCGAGCAGGGTAACCGTGCAGGGTAACTGTGATTACACTTGCAGAAACTTCTATTGTCTGATTCACAATCACTCACACTGTCTGACCTGAATGAACTTCTGGCCATTAACCAGACAGTGTGCACATTGATAACATCTAACTGGACAAATATGAAGTTTTTGTGTTTGAGTCCAGATGTTGGACAAACTAAATATGCAAAAAAAGAGAGAGGAGATAAAACTGACGATATGCCTCACCAGCTCCTTTCTGAGCCAAGCGAGAGCTTCATCAATGTTTTCAAAGCCCTTCAGCACACCCCTTGATGGCGGCTTTGGCCGACTCTCCTCTGCAGTCTCTTTGGTTACTGGTTCCCCTTCTGGCTCCTCCTGGAACTGGCATTTTCCAGTGTTGGGCTCTTTGAAGCTTTCTGCCTCCAGCCGGGCTTTCCACTCCAGGTAGGATGGCCTTCTGGTCTCCAGTCTTAATTTCTCTGTCAAAGCCTTCAGCGTCATGAGATGGTCATCTGCAGGCAAATCCACACCCTCCCCACCGTCTGCTTCCTGCAGCCCATTTGGTCTGTTCACCACGATCTGCGGAGGCGAAGCTGCGTCCATCGTTAATCTGCCAAATACAAAAAATTAAATAAAAACACAAGCATGCAACCTTCACCGGTACTCTAGCTGTTGTGTGTTATAGATCTTCAACATTCTGTTTCTGTTTGCCAGGAAAATTAGACTGATTTTCTCATGCAGCTTCAGAAATGTAACATTTGCTGAAAACTGCTGGATTTGGAAAAAAAACAAAAAAACATTTTGGTATTTATTATCAGTTGTGTAGTCAGAGTTCTACATGTTCACTGCAGGAATGAAATGAAATAAAGTTTCTCGTTTAAGAACAGTGCAAACAAAAGCTGACCTTCTGCACCCAACTGGTTGACGCTCAGTTTATTCCACACAGAGCAGCAGAAGAGCAGTAAAGTCACGGTGCTCTGCTGCAGATGGTAGACCAGACCTGACTTGTGAACACCACAATGGATCCGTACCCTTTACAGGAATCAATATGTTCTTTTGAGAACAGGTTTTTAAGGACAGCTCTAAAGCATAAATCCTGATTAATGTCGTTTTAAATTCTGTAAACATTGTGTGTGGACATTTACCGAGTAGTTTAAATAGAAAATGCTGAGAAAGATGAAAGTGGAACTGTGTGAATGCAAATACTGTGGTTGCAATTATAAATAAGAAGTTTTCATCCCTTATGCAAAACCCTCAAACCTCTGTAATTCTAAATGCTCGTGACTTAAAAAAAACAAGAAGTTCTGTCTTGTTTGTGAACAAGTTGTACAAACTAAACATAAGGAAACAGCCTTCGTGTTACAACAACACATGCCTAATCATTTCTACTTTCAAACTCATTTTACCACACCCCATAAATTGATTTTAGGTTGGCATGTAAAAACTTGTTCTAAGCGGCTTAGAAAGTTGGACTCCTGAATCTGGAACAAAACAACACAACTTTTTTTAAGGTTGCCGTGTGATGCTCGTCTAATAATGCACTGCTGTTATCAAGTACTCTAAAATATGAGGATGAGTGTTATTTCAAGAATTGTTTTTATCAATTTGCTTATAAAAGTCAACACCAATACACAGCAGGAGACTGGATTGTTTCTTTGGAGCGACAGAAGCTTCATAAAGCAGGTTATGATTCCATTTTACACACATCTACAAGTGGGTTTCTTTTTCTATAAGCAAAAAAATAAAGTAATTTTAAACATTCTCAGCTGTATTGTTTAGGCAAATACTAATACTGTATTTTAGCCTGAAATACATGCGATTAAGTGGCAAGAATATGTAGCACTCTTAACGTCTTTTGTATATAACCAACACGAAAAGAAAAAAATGCAATTTTTTTTTTAAAAAGCACGCCTAATTTTATTTAAATTCTAAAGTTTTGTAATTTAGTTATTTGAATAGACTGAAATTAAGTCAACCCACTGGAAATAATGTTCAAACCAGTGGTTTCCAAACTTTCAGCTTCCATATAACAGCGATGGAAACGTTTGAATCCAGCTATCTTTTATTAATGCAAACATTCCAATTAGGCCAAATTTTAAAAATGACAACAAACACCTGGACTTTTTTTTAACTTGTGATATTATCATCCATCCATGAGAAAAAGTTTTTATTTCCCTATTTGAAGTAATCATCCATCCATTGTCTTTACCCACTTCTTCCTTTTTCAGGTCGCCGGTGCTCATGTCCAGCAATCACTGTGCGAGAGGCGGGGGACACCCTGGACAGGTCTCCAGTCCATCACAGGGACACAGAGACAAATGAGACAAACATTCACTCTCACCTTGGGACAATTCAGAGTTACCAATCAGTCTAACATGCATGTTTTTGGTCTGTGGGAGGAAACTGGAGTACCCGGAGAAAACCCACACATGCACGGAGAGAACATGCAAACTCCACCCAGAAAGGATCCGGCTGGGATTTGAACCGGCGACTTTCTTGCTGAGAGGCAGCAGCTCTACCAACTGAGCCACCTGACATTTTTTTATTTTTTTTTAATAGTGATGACAAAAAAATTAAAATAGTAGTAATAATAATAAATAATAATTGGCTCTTTTTTTTTTTTTTAAGAATTGTGTTTATGAAAATTATCTTAAGACCCCAAACTTGGTGTTTTGCGACCAGGGTCCCGACCTTTTGAGAACCACTGATGGAAACACACAAAACAGTAAATAAATATTTGAGCTGACAAACTCAGTAACTTTTTAAGTTCTCGTTTTTAAGTATTAGCTAATTTAAAACCCGACAAACGTACTTGTTACCGTTTTCTCAGAAAAAGATAACTTTGCAGCGCCATATTAGAGCTGTTCACTCAACATTACAACTTATATTCTGATGATGAGCTACGAGTTTAAACGTGTCCGGCATCAAATGAAACCAACAAACGTGCGTTTACCTCGTGAGAAAGTCCCATTAGCTGGAGATCAACCTGGCAGCCGCATCACTTCACGAGCTCTCATCTACAGCCCAGGGTCCGCTCGCTTAAGAACACGGAGCTTACCGGAGGAGGGGCGGGACGGTTACGTCATGTTCTAGTTGTCTGAAGAAGCGGACGTCCCGCTGCACCGATACACTGTGGCAAGCGCGCCACACTCTGACAAGCCGGTAAAATGACCAATGTCCATTTATTTTTATAAACAATAAAAAAATTATATAAATCTCAAGTGTTTAAAAACACTAAAATACACACAGTTTCTTGACATTTTTTTATATATAATAAATAGTTCCACAAACATGTAACAAATGTAAATATATAAAATTATATATAGATAAATCTAGACTACAAGTTGATGTAGAAAAGTGTTCTTTTTTTAAACAAACCAAATAAATAAACATAAAACTGCAGCATTTTAGTGCTGATTGTCATTAAGAATAGGAACCATCTGTGCTCAAAACTCCTGTTTCAGAACCCTAACCTGCTGATTTTGCTGTTGCACATGGAAGTTAATACAAAAACTCTACTTCACAAGATTCAAATAAGCAACTAAAATGCATTTCTATAACAAAGCTATCCAAAACTTTTGCACTGATTTGAACAAATAAAAGTTGAAGAAAACATATAATGGTGTGATATTAGGATCACAAACCAACCATAACAGCCCAATGGTATTAAAAGCACGGCAATGGCCTAAGGTTTAAATTGTGCCATTTTCTTATAAACCATAAACTGCGTTCATTACTGTGTTTTATTCTGTGACTGACTGAGGTGATGTTTTGCCAAGACCGACCAACCTCAAAGTAGCATTGGTTTATAAAGTGAGTTCCTCTATTTCATCATCAAATGAGTTGATGGCACAGACAGTAGGTTTGCTTTCTGCAACGTGTAGGGTGTTACTGGAGGATGCAGGAGGAGTGGAAGACCCTGAGCTGAAGCTGAGCAGTCCGTCTCGTCTTGAACGCACGCCGTTGGGGGTTGGAGAACTATTCAGTACCTCCATTTTATTGGCAGGGATAGAGGTGTCGCCCGCAAGCACAGCCTGGGCACCGAACAGCTGCTGCAAGAGGCTCGCCTTCTTGTCCTTGATCGCCCTCTTCTCTGTCTCCATCCCTCCTAGGTTAAAAAGCGCTGCCTCTTCTAGTGCAGAGTCCCTGTCCTCTTTGGGCGGAGGCTGAGGGAAGCCGGAGGAAGCGTGGGAGGTCGTATGTCCAAACGAAGGAGCATAGCCTCCAAAAGCCAGCTTGTCACTGGATGTTTGGGATCGCAGCGTTCTCCTTCCTGTTCTTGCTGTAACAGCTCCACTCTCCTCACCTGGTCTCCTCCTCCCACCTTCTCTAATCCCAGCAGGCAAGCTGCCCATGTCTTCTGAGTCGTGGCTGAAGGCTGAAGAGTTACGGTTCTTCTGCTCAGGAGGACGTGGAGATGAAAATTCACTGGTGGCTTTTCTGGATTCAGAAGTAAATATGGAGTTCCGGTCTCCCTGGCTTTGAAGGTCTATTTCACGCATTTTAGCCAGCAGCTGTTCTTTCCTTTGACGCGTTTCCTCTGCTGATTGGTGATTGGCCAGCGGGTCCTTGTTCCACCTCGCCACCTCCTCCTGGACATGGCCTCGCCTCCAATGGTTGTATTCTTCCTTCTGGGTAAAAAGGGAACTTGTCTTCTTTCTGTCTCCCTCTTCATCATCGTCCACCTTAGAGCCTAGAAAAAAAGTCAGAATTGAGTACAGGTCGTGGTGAAACCTTTTACATTTGATATGTTTTGTAAATACTACAAAAATTATATGAACTCCTTACTTGTCATGCGATTGTCTTTGCCATCACTTAGTCTATTTGCCTTCTCTTTCAGGACAATCAGATCTTGGTTGAAGTGTTTCTTCTCTGTCTCCTGCTCTTTTGGCTTCTCCCCTTCTTTTTCAATCCTTTTTTGTTCTTCCATGTTTTGAGACATGTTCTCTGCATGATGGTCCACTTTGTCAAACTCCTTCAGAACAAATATAAATGAGCAGAAAAAGGTTAAAACAAGAAGAGTATTTAAAGATGAGGTGCAGGTCTGGTAAAAAAAAAAGGAAAAAGTAAGCATAGCACCTTAAGAGACAGGTATTCGTTGGGCGCCTGTTCGCTGTATTCATTGGCATCGTTAATGGCAGGAGGAGGAGAGGGGAAATCCAGACTTGACGTTCTGTCTTCAGTCTGTACTGCCTTGCTGCTGTTCCTGCTGAGGACTGTAAGAAGCCAAACAATATAAAATTATAATTATCAGGTTTTTTATTTTTTTATTTTGATGTTTTCTTGTTTGTGTGCAGTCACCTGAAACCTCTTACCTTTCTGCTTTGTGTTACTATCCATCTCTTTTCGTACGGGTGTTTTGATAATCCGGTTGGCGTAAATATTCCTAGCATCTAGTTCTCTTTCTTTTTCCTGAATAAAAGACGAACAGCGTCTCATACTGTGCAACATGCAATAAATGTTTGCGTATGACAGTAAGGGCTTTGCTATCATGCCTAAATGTAGCATTTTTGTACGTTGCACCTTGAGTTTATTGGTCAGTCGTTCCACCTCTTCTTGCAGATTCTTGATCGCCTCCTGAGCAATGACAGTCTTCTTCTTCTCTCCAACCAGCTGCCTCTGATAGCTGTTGTTGCTCAGCTCCATGCTGCGCTCCAGCTCCTTTAACCACACACAGACGAAACTTAAACAAACCCTGTTCCCAACGAGTAACCAGTGGTTGAAAATGGCAGAAAAAAAATGACAGAAACCAGAGTTTACTACTCTTGAATTTCTAAAGAAGATAGTCAGAAGTAACTGCAAAAACATTACACAGAGTAAACCATGTATTTTGACGTAAAAGAACTTGTATGAACTTGCAAGACAGCTAACAGAGATAAAATACTACAGTTTGTTAAATTCATATTTTAAAACAGTCAGGTCTCAAAATGAGGACATGGACATATTTTACCTTGTCCAGTCGTAAACAATTAGAACTTGAGAAATTGCATTTCCTGCGAAAATGCAGTGTGAATGCTTATTGTTGCTGAAAAGCAGCTGAAATTAGCTAAGAACCTGCTGAAATGTAGATGAAATGGAAGAACAAGCCTAAGTTAGCAAGAGAAAGCAGAAAGAACACTTATATGATGAATTTGGTTTAAATAAGAAGAAATGAGCACAAAGGTTAGTAAATTAGCTAAAAAAGCTTAAATTAGCAACAACAACAAAAAGCTGCAGCTGAAAAGGCAGAAAGCTTAAATTACCAGAAGGAAGTGGAGAGCACAATTTTGCCGAATTAGGCTTAAAGTAGCAGAAATTAGCAAAAAAAAAAAAAAAAGGAAAATATCTGAAAAAAGCTTAAATACCAAAAAACCCAGCTGAATAGTAGCTAAAAAAATGACAAAGAAGCTTAAATTACCAGAATGAAGTGGAGAGCACAATTGTGCCCAATAAGGCTGAAAGAAGCAGAAATGAGCAGAAAAAGTGGAAATTATAGGAAAAAAGTAGAAATTTGCAAAAAACAGCTGAATAGTAGCTAAAAGGGCAGAAAGAAGCTTAAATTACCAGAAGCAAGTGGAGAGAGCATATTTTTGCTGAATTAGGCTGAATTTTTTTTAATGAGTACAACAAATGTGGAATTAGTCAAAACAGCTAAAAAAATAAATAAATAAATTTGTAAATAGCAGCTGAAATAGCAGAAAAAGCTGAAACTTGCAAAAGCTGAAAATTGCATAAATAAGCTGAAAGGAGCATCACAAGCTGAAATTAGCAGAAAGAAGTTAGAAGATGCACAAAAATGTTGTAGTTGGCAGAAAGAATTGAAAAGGATCACAAAACAGCTGAAAAAAAAAGCTGAAATTAACTAAGAGTAGCTGAAAAAAATTTTAAATTTGCAGGCGATTGAAAGAAGCTGAACCGGAACAAAATGTGAAAGGAGCAGTAAAAGGATGTAAACAGATCTAAAGATTTGAAGGATGTAAAATAAACTCAATTCATATTCTATGAGAAAAAAAGTGGCAGAAAAGGCTAAATATTTCAAAAGGCTCAAGTTGCACCAATACTAAAAGTCAGAGCACCCTCCTCCTCCTGAACGAGCTGAACGTTTAGATATATGAACTGTTGAAATAGCACAAAAATTGTGGAACAAGAACGATGCTGAAAAAGGTACGGAAGAAAAATGGATCACAACAATGTGAATGCTTCATAAACATTCACACAACTAGATAAAGTAATAGGGCAAAATGAAACAACTCAGTGACATTATTATTGTAATTATACAACCCATATAATTTCCTCCAGTTGTTAAAGAAGTTTTATAGTTGGAATATAGTTTGACTAAACACATCAGTGAGGAAACCATCCACTTACAACCATGAAATGAATGAGTAAAGAAGCACTTGATAATGAGTTGACCTTGATTTTTCGTTCTGCTTCTTGAGTCTGAGTTTTCTCTTCTTCTAGCCTGCGGCTCAGCTCGTCTCTAACTCCTAACTCTCGCTGGTCGACCAGCTTCTTCAGTCGTGCAATAGTTGCTTGGCTCCTTTGCAACTGCTCCTCTGTGTCTTTTGACCGACGCTCAGCTGCCCGTTCCCGCCCTTGTGTTCGCCTGAGTCTCTCTCGCAGCACGTGAATCTCATTGGAGTGGCGCGCCAGCAGCTGGGAAATCTCGCTTTCTGTGTCGTCGTAACGCTGCAGGGCTTTCTCTTGACGCACCTGAAGCTGCAGCATAAAAAGGTTATTTCATATTTCACTAACGTTGAGGGTGCAATCTAACTTTTATTTAAAAATAATAATAATAAACAGTGTTTGGCCTACTTGTTTAAGGATTCGATTTTCTTTCTGCAGTTCATCAATGCGCTGCTGCAGTTCAGAAAGAGAGTTGCGCAGTTCGTTGATCTTTACGAGGCGGGCTGACAGCATCCGCTTTGTGACCAGGTCTAGGTCTTTAGGTGGCGTTGACTCTTTGCTTTGTGACCGGGGTCCCCTGCGATGCTGCTGGTTCAGGGAGAGGCCCCCTGGCCGCTGTGGCCGAGACACGGCCCTGCGCCCCACTCCACCTGGGAAGAAAAAGAAGAAAGCTACATTGGCCCCATACTGCTGCCATCATCTGAGCAGTCAAAACAAGCAAAACAGAAGTTGCAACTTCATTTATCAAACATTACTTAAAACGCGTCCCATTTTAAATACCTGTTTTGTGGAAAGAGCTTCTAGAAATCTGCTTTGCCCGCAGCCCTCTTTGTGGGGTGGGAGATGGAGTCCGAGAGCGGGACAGCGGTGAAAATGAGCGCTCTGACGGGGTCACATTCTCATAGTCTTCTGAATAAAAGGAACCATCACTTCTGCGTCCCTCTTCGTCTGAAACTTGGTCACGGTCGGGATCAGAATGCCTCGTTCTTGATCTGCTCTCGACACCGCTTTCATTTTTGTCCTCATTGTGAAATTTGTCCCGGTAGTTCTTTTTGTGCTTCTGCAAGGATGATGCTCGAGAAGCTTTCTTTGTGCTTTGATGAGAATGGCGACGTAGGCCCCGGTTATCTTCAACTGGATCAGCTGTTTTTTCAGAATCCATGATGTCACTTTAGGAAGGTTTACTAGGCAGAGAAACAGAAACAATCATAGTTCCAATTTACAGCAACACCTTACAGGAAACCTTGTAGATGTTTATTACAGCACCCTGAGTAAACTAATATCAACATTTATATTGCAATACCAAGGAGGACATGCCTAAAATCTGTACAGTAAGAAGTTAGTCTATTTAGTTTCCCTCATGTTTTCCATATCAAGTGTCTTGGTCACTAAGCAACAATACACATGAGGTAAGATTTTCCATGAAACTGTATTAGCATGATACACCACAGCAAAAACACTGCCCTGCCCCATCTGCCTTTGTGGCTCATTAAAAGTAAAAATAAATAACATCTAATAGAAAATAAATGCACATTAACATAAAACAAGACACTCAGAGAATAAGTATAAACAAGAATTTTAGGTGTTTTCCACTGAATATCCCAGTGTCCAACATTAAACGTGTTCCATGTTTAATTCATCGTTAGTAAAACTGGCAAACTTCTCGGTATTTGACCTTGTTTGACAGGGGATTTTTTTTATATTAGGTCATGTTTTTATAAGCAATAAAAATAAATGCTAATCAGAGGTCTTGCAATCATCTGGTCCTTTAGAGTAATAAGTAACTATGGCAACAAGAGAGCAACATCACCATAAATGGAGAAAAGACTTGTACACCCATCATTGAGGGCTCTGTATGTGAATACACAACACTTTTGTACTTTTCATTCAAACTCAACGTCCTGACTAATAATAAATAAGTGAAAAAACATGTATTAAACTCCATCTATAGAAAATAGGCTTGATTAATAGGATTTTATCCTCACCACATCCAAACTATCTCTTTGGTTTACACCAAGTCTGTACCTACTAATTAGCTTGTAAATACCTGTTTGTCTCTATATTGTTATTGTCTTTAAGAAAATCTGAGCAGTGGCTCATAATCAGTGCGAAAATTAAATTAAATAAAAAACAAACAAGTTCTGAACTCCCTACAGCGGAAGTGAACTCTTTTCTTTATGACACCAGAATAAAAAAATGGCGTGCAGCTGTTTACAGCTGTCAAAACATCTCAGGTAACAGCATCAAAACATATCTTCACATTTTAAGGAGTAGTTTGTTAACTGGAGAATATAAACGAAGAAGCAAAAACAACACGAGGCGACTCAGTCTCAAGATTAGCAAGTATTCCTAAGAAGCTAACAGTGCTCAGTAAGAAACAGCTGATGGTCGAGCAACAAAAAACTAGAACCAACATGTGTGTTATGGTTTAGGTCTGCTCATGCCAAAATGTTCGTTTTTGTACTTATTCTAAGCGCTTTGTTGATTTAAAGTTCCCATGTAGATCCAGTCGGCTAATGTTAGCATCGCAGCTTGGACTACTAGCAAGAAAGCTCGATTTTAACCTGGCTTATTTAAAGACAAAAATGTAAAAATGCTTACTCCGCCTTTTCCTGGAGGCAAACGGCAGCGACGGACGTTTTATTAAATGTTGTTCTGACGTTATCCGCATTAATACAGCAACCATGAGTTATCAGATAGTTTAACCTTAATCTTTCGGTTCACGCCTTACGGTGGTTTGCTTCAGCGTAGCCCCTGACGCGGTGCCATGGCAACCGCAGAACCGCCTGCAGTACCGCAAAGCACCAGAGGGGCGCTGCTGCACCACATGTGAGCCGCGGCTGTTTGTCGCTGCTTTCTTCCAAACACCATATCTGTTTGTTATCAGTGCTTGTATTGTTTTTAAATTGTCTCACAATACATAATGTTGAAACTGACAACATTCTGATTTAATTTTGAACAAGTTTTGAGTTTAAACTTGAGATTGCGTTTTAATTGTATGTACATAAAATCCCTATCCTGATGTATTTATGCACAAACAGCACACAGGACAAGAGAAAAGCTCATTTTACACGCATTTTATTCTGTTTGGGGAAAAAATGGTTGAAATAATGAACTGCGGTCAGTACTGTGAAAAAAACTAAACGCCTAAAACTAGGACCTTGAGGCGTATAAACATTTGCAATTGTTTTATCTATTCTTTTTAAGTCCATCTTTTCAGTCATAGTCCTGTTAGAAAAATAGATGAAGAAAATTATGTTTCTGTATGCCAGGCTTGAGGCAACAAAACATAACAAAGACAGAATATATCACAAAATTAAGATCACAAATTAAATGGTTAGGCATAAAACCAAATAAGATGGATGGATGGATGCAAAATAAATAAATAAATCTTCATCTATAAAGTACAACTCGACAACATCAATTCTAGTGTACCAGATTGGGATTAAAATGTGTTCCATGTACAGTACAAACAAAGGATTATTTAAATATACAGTTTTTATAAATCTACCTATAAATTAAGACTTTCAAGACAGTGATAAACTGTGCAATTCAAAGAGCACAGTCCACTGTATTTATTGTCACGCAGTTATCTGAAATAACGGTGTGGAGCTGCTTTATCTACAATCATAAACAATTTAAACTCGGAAGTAAGATTTTCAGAATAAAACAAACTACCGGCCTTTGAAACCGGTTCATTTGGATTTTTTTTATAAAATAAAATTACGAGAAAGTTTTCGAATACAATTGTAGTCTTACAAAACAAACAAAGAAAGAAACAGAGCAAACCAGTCTTCATAATGCGCGAGATTAATAAACGTTATTGTATTATTTTGAAAGTTTTACCGGAAGTATAAATTTAGCTTGACGTGTGTAGCGGGCTCTGCGTCGGTTCAAAGAGCGTCACTGTTTTTTATTATTTTATTTTATCATGGCTCAGTTGAAATATCAGAGCAACGAGTAGTCTCCTATCTAAAGCACATTTTTGATTGTGTACTTTCATTTTTCTCGTTGCCCTAAACAAACAAACAAACAAATCCGGATTAAACAATCGCTGCCGACAAAACGACTGCCTGACATCAATTTGGGATTACCATGGTCATCAAGGTTTACGTCGCCTCCTCAAGTGGCTCTATCTCGGTGAGTGCTTCTTATTTAAAAATAAAATAAACTTATTCACATGTGCCTTAACAATTCACTTACGCATTGTTATACATTTTAGTGGCGTAGCCGGATATATTTATGTAACCGCGCGCCTGGAGGCGCTTTCCAAACTGATCAATCAAATGAAACACCTCAGGTGAGGCAGACAAAAACAGAAACAGTAAAGAACCACTCTTTATTATTTGGGTCGACTTCTGTTGAGGTTGAGACAATCATTTAAACTTGCTGACTTTGATAGATTTACAAAAAAAAAAAAAAAGATTTTATTCCGAACAATAACAGGAAATGCCAGATATGTTTAAAAGGTGCAGAGCGAATCAGAGTCACGACCATTTGTGCGTTTTCTAAAATTGATCTCATCGGTTAGACTCCAAAAGTAAGTCATTTGTAGATGTTCATCCAGTTATTAATTTCTGCAAGTTTCTTTTAAAATGAGTGCAGTTGGTCATGAGATATTTAGCTAACACACATATTCCCAATCAAAACCTTTGCCTTTCAGCAATGTTTGGGATCACTGTTTGATTGCATAGTTTTTGCATCCCTGACATCAATTAAATTGATTTAACCAGTCTTTACAAAGAAAAAAGGTTCATGAACTATAATAAATATATTTAAACAATTTTATTTATATATAATCTGCAAAAAAAATAAAAAAATCAACAATAATAAATTCTCTTCAATCCTCCGACCTGCTTGTCACATGCCTCTCGAGTTATCAAGCAAATGTTTAGATGACTTAGCATAATATGTATTTCTATAGCGCCTTTATATTTGATCAAGATACTCAAAGCTCTTTACAGTCTGTGTCCTCATTTACCCATTCATACAGCACTAGATCTCTACAAAGACTAATCAGTGCTTTTAGTTTAAGTCACATTCATAGAGCAACGGGACACACATCGGAGGCAATGATGGGTTCAGTGTCTTGCCCAGGGACACTTCAGCATGTTACTGCTGGTGGAATTGAACCCCCAACTCTCCCATTGGAGGACGTATGCTCTCACCGCTCGGCCACATCTGTCCCTGTCTTGTAAAACTTTAGCCTGAACAATAAATGTAACGTAGATGTAAATATGAAACGTTCTGTTCGTCTGAAATCTTTACTTCTCTGCAAAGAAAACAAAAGTCCCGCTGCTGTCGATACTAATCAGGCCTTCACCACACGTGACTGACGTTTCTTTGATTAATTTATATTTTGTAACTTTATGGCGAATGGTGGAGGATGGACATCATGAGCTCACGTTAGGAAGACTGTTCAAGTGTTGAAACAGGTTTAAAAGTAGCCGTTTACTTGGATTCTTGGATGTGCGCAAAGCTAAAAACATTTCAACCAATCTATCGGCATTAGCCTTCCCCTCCCATATCTGTGTCGCCGAGAGCCAAAATGTCCATATTAGTTGAGTTGATGCATTTAAAAGTCGCTCTCAGATGCAGCTGTCCTTGCCTCTTGGCTAACATCTGGCTCTTGCTGTAGAGAAAACCCAGCTGATGAGCAGAAAACAAGCGTCAAACAACACTCCTGCAAAAGAATGCCTAAAGGATTAGGTCATGGTACAAGTGAGCGATATATTTATTTGAACAGGCTCAGTCTGTAGAAAAGAGCCTCTATAATCTGAGTGTTTATGCAAAGAGATACTTATTTCTACGAGTTTTAAAAACACTAAAATTCTCCCTTTCCCCCCCTCGCTTACTCACACAAAAAGTTTTGCTTGCATAAGCCCTCCCTTCAGGTCAGTTAACGTAAAGCTCGTTTGAATGTAGTTCAGTCTGACTGCAGAATGTAGTAATAAAAAATGTTTTTTTTTCAAAGTGGCATAATGTACAAACTTTACGTCAAACCGATTAGTGGAGCAGAAATTATCGGCAGAGAATAGTTGAAATGCAAATTAGGTTATCCCCCACTCTTCACCAACAGAAGAAACCATCTGTGGAGTGGCATCAATATGTGCTGTTTGTGATTCTGCTGTGTTCCGTTCTTATCGTTATAGATGCGAATAATTCTTCTTATTCTGTTCGTAATCAGCAGCAGCTCCCAGCAGGAAAGTCATATTTCTGCTGTGTGATGCAAACCTGACAGCGGTGTCAAAGTTTATCTGCTTGAACCACTAGCGATCCACTTCAGGCTGTGTCCATTTAGACTCGTCATTAACGAACCGTTTCACAGGATGACCACATCATTTGTATTTAGTTTGGATTTCTCCGTGATTCCACGCCACAATCCAACAGTGGTTCAGTGTGTAGCTTTAGCCGTCGATCTCTTTGTTGTTTTTACAAACCAGAAAACGAGACGCTTTGAGCGATGACAGATTGGTCTTGTGTGTTTAATCACTCCGAACAATCCCTCATTGTCTTCAAACGAGAACAACCGAGTCATTGTGGCTCTCAACGCCCCCAAAATAATAACCACATCGCCACTTATGTTTTTAACTTCTGCTACAAAGACGTATTTTTATACATTTTTTTAAATTCATAATATTTAGTTACTTAACTATCCATGCTCGTATGTTCCTACTTTTAAAAAATAGTACCGTATTTTTCGGACTATAAGGCGCATTAAGCAAAACAAAACGGTCAAATAAGTCAAACTTTGTTCAACTCATTCACAATAACCAAATAAAATTGGTTTGATGTTGGTAAGCACAACCTGAATTAATTCACAACGTGCACCTGATTCTAAGGCTCACTGTCAATTTTTGAGAAAATTAAAGGATTTTAAGTGTGCCTTATAGTCCAAAAAATACGTAGTTTTTTTTTTCATTGGTAATGAACGCAATCTTGTTTTGTTCCTTAATTCTGTGCAAAGCTGAAGGTTTTTCCTACATTAAAATTCAGTCAATAAAAAGAACCCAATTAAAAATGTGGTGGGAAATATGCAATCTTTTGCTATGATTTTATTTTATTTTTTTAAGGATTCAAGGATTTTTATTGTCATTCACGTCACATGTGGTACATGAGGTGGAACGAAACTATGTACATAACATCCGAGTTATATCCAACAAAAAACACAAATTGTAAAGAAAAACAGTCGTAAGATCTGAGACATGAACTAAGAATATATTACATTCACTAAACTAAGAATACGCTAAGAACCAACAGTCCTTCTCCCCAAGGGAACATTTTGCGGCAGTGAGTAGGTTATTTTTTATTTTTTATTTTTTGCATCTTTCTCATTTTGTCGGGGGTGGTCGGCAACTCTGAACACATATGTCTGTCTTGTCGTTTGGGGAGCCATGCTTGAACCGTGTCACTTCCCTCTGCTGCTGAGAAATAATAAATAACTCTGACACCTCCTCAACTGGTGACGCTCTGGACGCTTGTCACTCACAGCACGCATGCAACAAAGAGTATAAACTCCAAGCGAGAGGACACCTGCCCTTTCTTCTTTCACATTGACAACATTTTTTAGTTTTATTGATTGTTAAAGTGGGGCAGCACGGTGGCGCAACTGGTAGAGCTGCTGCCTCTCTGCGAGAAGGTTGCCGGTTCAAATCCTGGTCCAGGGGCCTTTCAGGGTGGAGTTTGCATGTTCTCTCCGTGCATGCGTGGGTTTTCTCCAGGTACTCCAGTTTCCTCCCACAGACCAAAAACATGCATGTTAGGCTGATTGGTAACTCTAAATTGTCCCTAGGTGTGAGTGAAAGCGTGAATGGTTGTAAAAACGTATGTTTAACAAACGTTTGGACTCTATTCTTTGCTAACAAAATATATTTTATGTCATTGAACAACTTGTCAGGTTCTTCTCTGTGAGCACGTTCCCCTGGACAGCCCCCCCCCACCCCCCAAATTTCTCCTAAAACATTGTTCTCGTTAAAATCTACTTCAAAGTCTGTTCCAACTTATTTTCTTTTGCTACTTTAGTTGTTAGCTATCATTCTGCTGCTTTAAATGTTTTAGCAAGCCAGTTGTTTTCAGTTTTTAGCTACCTTTCTGCTATGCTAAGCTTTTATCTAGCTTTAATATGTTTAGCTTTTAGCTACTTTTTTTAGCTACTCTTTTGCTACTTTTAATTAGCATTTTGATACTTTTAACTTCTAGCTATACTTTTGATACTTTAGCTATTTGGTACTTTTTAGCAAGCATTTCTTCTAGTTTCTTTTATTAGATTTTTGTCCTTTTAGCAACTACATTTTAGCTTTTAGCTAGTGTTTTGATAGAAATGTTGCAGGCTCATCCTAAATACGAGTGTCTGGGAAATGAATACAAATGTTTGAAAAGGTAAAAACTAGTGGTCTGAGGCAGGAAACCCACACATCAAGGTTGCTTTGGACTGTGTGTGTCTCTAATGGGTAGTGAAGCGTGGGAGTTTCCTGCCTTCTCAAATGTTTCTTTCCCACAAGTCACTAGCTATCATGCAGGACAGTGTCCCACAGGTCAGGGCTGTAGGGAGCAGCATCCCAGCTCTCATTTGTGTGTCTTCCATTTTCTTTTGAACAAGACTTGGCTTTGAGCCAGCAGGTTAAACGATAGGTGTTTAACACCGATATGTACTGTATTTGAATTGCATCCCACAGTGCATTTCTACAGCTTGATCTGGACTGTAGTAACCATACAGATGTAAGATGAATTTTATGTAAAGCATAAAGACAGCTTTCAGATTTCCAATCTAAGCTGAGCTCCTCCAATATTCACTAATCCTTCGTAATGCTCCCACTGCCAAAGGAGAGTTGGTAGGAACGTGCTGTTTGTGTGTATGTATGTGCGTGTGTGAGCAGAGGAGTAAACCTCTTTGTCTGAAAGATTTCAGTTCATCCCGTCATGCAGCAGACACTTTTCTCCAGGAAATCACATCTCCCTTTATGCACTTTATGAGATGTTTGTTGTTGGTTGTGCAAAGTCTCTATGGTGAATATTCTTTTGAATGTTCATAATTTTTCCTCCTTTCCTCTCATGTCTGACCCATCCAGGTGAAAAAATATCAGCAGGCGGTGGTGGGTTTTCTGGAGGCCAATCGAATCAACTTCCAGGAAGTAGATATTACCATGCTGGAGGAGCAGAGGCTCTGGATGTACCGCAACATCCCCAGGGACAAGCTGCCAAAGAAAGGCAACCCGCTGCCTCCACAGATCTTCAATGAGGATCGCTATTGCGGTGTATGATGGAGATCAGTTTATCACTGTTGTAACTGTTGGAAGCTTTGCATACACAACTCTTAACTTGTATATTTGAACATGCCGTTACTTTGTTTTATGTCAAGGTTAATATCAGATGGCACTTGGCATACAAACAGTCAGAACCTTTTTAATATCGACTTTAATGTCTAGTCAAACTGAAAATGTGTGCATTAATTAAAAGGGTACGATCATTTAGAAGATATTTTAAACGTTGACTCTTTTAAAAAAATATATATATATATATTGAATACTACAAGGCTTTAAAGAGGCGCTAAAGATTGCTCCCTCGTTTATCGCGAAGGATTCGTACCCTGAAGACCCGCGATAAGTGAAAAACGGCAAAGTAGGAATAGTAGTAAGTTTAAGTTTAATTTTTTTTTATAATATTAAGGCATTTTAAACCCTTACACTCTTGCAATATTCTAAACAATGTTTCTAAACTGTAAACGCTCTAAAAGAGCACAGAATGTCATGACTTCAGCGCTCTGCCTCCTCTGCTCTTTGCCACCTGCAAGCGCTCTTGGCCACGCCCACTTCTCCATTCTGCATGGTGAACAGCTGATCAGCAGCTCTCTGCTCCACACAGAGAGCCATAAAAAAAAACAATTGCCAAGTCTTGTGAGTTCGCTATGGTGCCCCCGAAGAAAGGAGCAGCCATTAGAAGAAAAACATTGACATAAACAAATCTGTTTTAATATTTAAAGAAGAAATGTTGACTGTTTTAGAAAGGCTGCGTCTTAGAACCTGTTTAGTTAATGGAGACAGAATGTACATTTTTTTGTGGTATTTAAAATCGCATCCTCATTGGTTTCATGTCTTAAAGCCAATAATTACAGTCTGACTCCATCTTTTACTATAGACGAGTGCTGCAGCATTGGGCTCCATCTGAATCACTTCAATGATCATTTTAATCGCAAGCTTGTGTTTTTCAGAGTTAAGTAAGGATGGCAGGAATATTTTGATACAAAAACATAACCTGCAATGAGACAACACGGGATAAGAACCTGGAAAATGGTTTATTGAGACGTTACACTTGTATGTATGGTTTTAAATGGCCAGTGTTTCAGTAGTTTCCAGTACACTGATGCAAGTCAGCAGAAGGTTGAGCCGCCGGTGAATGAGGGAGCAGTTAGACCTTCATAGTTTATGTCCTCATCTCAGATTGCACACTGCTCTGTAATCCTGTGGTAATCCAGTTTCATGGATGGGGGTGGATTATCTACTCTGCCTACCATCACTAACTGGTCAAGGTATTCCAACATTAGTTCACATTAATTCAATTCAGTTCAGTTTATTTATATAGTGCCAAGTCACAACAGAAGTCATCTCAGGTCACTGAACAGAAACATTCATATAAATAATAATTTAACATTATTTATCTGAGGAGCAGACTGCTTTGAGTTTAACTCCATCACACAACTCTCATCTTGAGCAAGCATCAATGCAACAGTGGAAAGGGAAAAACTCCTTCATGAAGAAGAAACCTTGAGCAGAACCAGGCTCAGAACAAGCGGCCATCTACTTCGACCGGCTGGGTTTGGTAGGAATAGATACACAATGGCAGGTCAAGAATCACATGTTGAGATAGAAATCGTATCAAATGAAAACTATTTAATTTTAACAATTTAAGGAAATTAGGTCAATTTTTCCTCCATAATTTAAACCTATAGCTGCATAACAAGCCGACCCTAACTATAAGATTTATAAAAAATGAAAGTCTTAATCCCAGTCTTAAAACTGGACAATGTGTCAGCCTCACAGACAGAAACTGGAAGTTGGTTCCACAAGAGAGGAGCCTGATAACTGAAAGATCTTCCTCCCATTCTGCTTTTGGAAACTCTAGGAACCGCAAGTAAGCCGGCAGTCTGAGAACAACGTGCTCTATTAGGAAAATATGGAACAATAAGATCTCGTATATAAGATGGAGCTAGGTTGTTGAGAGCTTTGTAGATTAGAAGTAAGATTTTGAATTCAATGCTTGATCATCTCAATGATTATTCAAGCTGAATTAACAGATGAATAGGAATTCTTGTTAGGAACACCTCAAACCATTTTTGAACCACTCTGTTCTCTTTACCACTTTAGGACTATGAAGACTTCTTCCAGTCGAAGGAGAACAACACTGTGTTTGCATTCCTAGGGCTCAGTTCCCAACCCAATGTTAAAGTAAGTTAACATGTTTAAATATATTCTGATGTATATTTATGTTGTGCTGCAAATCAAATGTCTTTTTTTTTTTTTTTTCTTAGTAAACCACTTCTTGGAACAGACGCTCTTGAAAAAAATGTAGTAGTAACAGTAAAAATGTGAAAACCCATCAGATTCAGCTCCGATAATCTTAAATATATTAATTTCACTTGGTCTTAGAAAGAATATTGCAGCTACATTAAGTCTTTAAACGCTGTTGAGATTTATAATTTCTGTTTATGTTTCCAGGACTCGGAGTCCTAGCTCAAACTGCCAGCTTGAATCATCCAGGAAACCTTAACACGTGTTTAACTTCCTGCTTTGTATCACCTCCTCTCTGGTGATTCTCCTTTGGCAATGCCAGCAATTTTCCAAATGGATGATCCCTCCCTGACCTCTTCACCTGGTTTCTCCGAAGCGGTGGACTCTTCAGCCACAGGGACTTCCATCACGGAGGACTTAACTTTGGGATGGTTGCGTTTTATTTTAACGCTCAACCTGCTGTGGCAGCACAACAACGTCTGTTGCAGATATTCCGTGCAAGCCAGAGAAGCATGTAGCAGCTTTTGCATCAGTGCCCTTTTGATAATCTCGAATGCAGTGGATGAGCGGATCAGGTGCAGCACAATTCACCTGATTAGACTTCACATGTCTGTGTGTGTTTAGTTACTGAGCAAGTATCAGCCTCAGTTAGCAGCTATAACTGACTCTGTTACTTATTGTAATATAATGTTGTGTAAGCCAGGACTTTGCAATGGTGCTTCTGTGTATGGGACCAAATACTAAAAATCTTGAGTCAAGATGGTTTTTAAAGCCTAACTGCCAGCTTTAAAGCATACTTTGTAGCCACGTTTATCTAATTAAACACACTGTGCTTTCATAAACATTGCTGCCAAACAGTTTGAGTTAATCAGGTACTTGCTGTTGTTCCAATGATATGAATGTTTATCCCTCAGCGACTTCCCACATTGTGACAGCTGATCCCAGACTATTCCTTTGTAATCAGCCTGTAAAAATGCATGCTAAACAGACCGCCATCTTTGTGATCTATATGTCCAAACTCTTCTCTCTTCTTTTAGTTCGCATTTTGTGTTTTCACTCTGCAGCACCACGTAGTTTCTCTGTTCAGCTGTTATTTCTGCTGGGACCAGACAGCTGCAAGGTTTTTCCTTTGTCCACCATGCTGGAACCACCTGATCAAAACAACTGCTGATTTGGCTCCTTATATGTTGTCGAATCATGATATATTGTTGTGTATTTCTGTTGTTTTAAACAAATGTGTCAGACCGGAAATACTAAATGTACTTTATTTCACCTTTCTGCCTACTTATATGAAGCTAATAAAATTGTTCTCAATAATATATTGCTTGCAAAGCAGGTTTTATTGCTCTGTTTTGGCATGTGCATGTTATAATACTAGTTTTTCAAAATATGTATTTAGGAATAGTAACAGGCAGAGTGTTTTTAATTTGTTCTTTTTTGTTATTTTTATTGCACGAATGATCCAAATTTAGTCAATTTAAAATCTTTGGTACACCTTCAGTTAACTGTTGCGAGGCTTTCATTTTATTTTTTATGTTTGTTCAAATTTAGATGTAAGCAAGACAAAATAGCTTAACTGAACCCAAATCATTGTTAAACCAGGAACACAGCAAGAGTCAAAATGGGCAACAATAGCCTTAAACCCCCCCCCCCCCCCCCCCCCCCCCTCCCACTCACCCCCACACCACCAACAAAAAACAAAAAAAAAAAAAAAAAA